GTAAGGATTTACTAATTTTCATGAAGTCCTAGTGGAAAAGTCTTCCTAAATTGCCATATTGGTATTGAGGTATAGTATAGTAAGTGAGCAATCATAATGATATTCTGGTATAGTAATAAATACTAAGCTCTAATTTGAGATGAGTTTCATAATCCAAAAGAATGGAAACATGAGGGAGATGATGTTCGTCTAGATATGAGATCTAGTAGACTTGACATAGACTAGGTGATGAATTGATATGTTGCTGCAATGCACGTAGTAGAAGAGAGCCTAACCTTTATATAAGGGTAGTGGTGTGGCTAAGTCAGGAGAGGGAAAAGAGCATTAAGAGAATGTACACGAGTTAGAGATGTGGAATAAGTCCATAGTTTTCAAGTGTTAGCTTGAGACCTAACGGGGAGATAGCGAGATGATAAATCAAGTCCAGTGTTGAGAATTTCTTAAGGATCTGGTTAGTCGGAGTCCATAGAGTACTAATTTTTGAATGTGGTGTTGTTAAACATTAGATGGATTCTTGAGATGAGCAATATGGTGATAAAGAGTAATAGTTTTTGGATGTGATTCCCTATAGAGAGGTATATATTCCGAACATAAGGATTTCAGTTAAGCTTGAATTAAGTAAGGGAAGACCATTAGATTTAAGACCTTAGTAAGAGTAACCCATTGAGTACCAAGTCCAGTAGTCATTCGAGGACAAATGATCCCATAGAGGAGATATTGTAACACCACAGAAATTTTTTCGAACTAATACTTGAGTCGTTAATCGTAGCGAGTGATATTTCACCAAGGAAATAAAAAATTTCTTAAGTATTAAGGCCAGTCTCTAGATTTAGAACCAAGAGTTACGAAAAAAGAATTAAATGGGGAATAACAAAAATCTGAACTTTGGAGAATTAAGCTAAGTATGAGTTTTGGGTCAACTTCAAACAGTTATATATCCCAGTACAGGATAAGTTAGGTCTTCTACAAGATACTATTGGAAATATATTTGAATTATCTTTCCAAAGCCGCCGAGTTTTCTAAATTCTAAGTTCGGATGATTGAGGTATGACCTTTTGAAGTTAGGTTGTCCATTTAAGGAAAGTTAGACGAGAATAGTGAGGTGTATTTTGGTCCTTTCCTTACCCAATCAGATTTAACTCATTTTTAGTCATATTTTAGGGGTATAATATTCTTAGCTTCAGTTTTATAATCCTGATAAAAACCTAGGGTTTTAGTTGAGAGTTCAATAACAGGCAAGAAAAGAAAAGAGCAGAAAAAAGGCAAGGCTGAAGACGTTCATTGACGTTGTTGAGTCTAGTTGCGGATTTTCGCCATGGTCAAATATCTAAGAGGTATGTAAGCTTCCATAGTGTTGTGTTAGTTCACCCACACTCCAATCATGTATTTTTTTCCAGTGAAATTTCATGCTTAAAGTTTAAAGATTAGAGTTCTTGATTAGTTCTTGGAAGGTGTTCTTCAAGTTCATTCTAAATCTTGTTGTGTTGGAGTTTTGATGATTTCTTGAGATAAAATTGAGTAATTTTAGTGTTGTTTACAGTATATTAGAATGTAATCAAGTTAAGTAATCGAATCCAAGTGATTGGTAAAGAAACCGTTCGAATTTAGGTTATTTAGGGTGAGAAAACAAGCAAAAGGATTGGCAAAATTTTTGGGTTGGGGCCTGGCGCAACACGCCTACCAGAGCACCCCAAACCCATAAATGTCCTTCAAGGGGGATCCGCTCTAGCCATATCCCAAGGGTCGTTTGCCTAGTCCAGTTAGCCTCCGGTACATCCGTTTAACTTCGTCTAAAGTGCACCTTCACTCCTTCTCGATTCTAACTAATCTAAGATACTTCTTACCACATAAATCAGTACTAAAATGATCATAACCTTGAATTTAAAATTCAAATTCAAGGTAAATATAGAGTTAAGTTTTGAGAATTCTTTCAAACGTTCTTAGAAAGTCCTTTGGGGAGTCTAGACTCAAGCAAGTGATTATAAGAGTGAAGAGTATGTATTCATGAGTCTACCCTATCACTTAGATCCTTCATATCATTAAATCATAACTTTTGAATTCATTAATTCACATTCAAGAGTGAGTTAACAGTAGATTCAAGAAAGGCTTAAAGTTGAATCGTGAATCCTTTGAGATCAACTATTATGATTTAGCTAAGATTTGAGGATGTAAGTAATAGAATGAGAAGAGTTATATACATGAAATCCATCTAGTTACTAAGACCTTCGAGTCACTTCGTTCATTTCCATAACATCCGCATGAGTTTCATAAATTGAGTATCATTGAAAGGAGTAGTATGTCCAAGTTCTAAGTCATGAGTATTGAGTTCCTTATTCCTATCTTGAGTAAAAAAAAAAAAGGTACTTTCTAGTTCATGCTCATTTTTCCGCATGAACTCCCCAAGTTAAAAATCCTTAAATTATCCATAAACATGAGATCATGATCCTTGAATCCATACTTCAATTCAGGGAAAGTTAAGATCAAAGTCAAGGAATCTAAAAGCCAAGTCAAGAAGTTAAAAAACAAGTCAAAGTAAAGTTATAACGTTTTCTAGAGTCTTTCACAAACGTTTTCGCTTCATTTTAATAGGCTTAAAGTTCAAGTTAAGAAAGAGTAAAGAGTTGAGTTCATTTCTCAAAACCTATAGGGGAACTAAGTATTCCCTAAGAGTTAAGTTCTCAAGTAAGAAAAGAGTATCAAGTTGAGTTCAGTTCTCAAGAGTTCTAAGGGAACTATGTAATCCCTAAGAGTTTAAATAAAATGTTTTCAAACTTTTGAGAACAAAAGGAAGCTAGACTTTCAAAGAGCCTATGGCTAGTTTCAGTAAAAGAAAAAGGAAACTATGATTTCAAAGAGAGATATTTAAAGCTAAGTTTTGAGCACTAATATCAAATCACATGATCAATATGTTTTTAAATATAAGAGCTAGCATATTTTTGGTAGTAGTATTGAGCACTGATATGGGGTAGATTTCAGATAACTCACAGCCCCCATAAACCATGTAGCCACCATGGCTAGAAAAGGTTCATACTTTTTGGATTAATCCTTTTCCCATTTTACTAGTGGATCCATTAGGCAGTTCAGGTCTTATACCTTTGGCCCGGGTATAAGATGTGCTGGCAGCGTGAGGGAGATCGATTTATCACCACTGTAGCTCTTAAGTGATGGTTTTCGATTAGAAAAACTCCCACAATATGAGTTACATGGTCCTTAAAGGGGTTCTACTTAGTATGAATGGGGGTATGAGACTTCATTCATGCATTTGGACAAGTAGACTTTGAGACGAAGCATGCTATGTATTTTATTATATTATTATCTTGGGTTAACATCATATTTTTTAACAATTTTTCTTTATATTTCACTTGTTTTAAACTGCTTTGTTTTTATATGATTTCAGTTAAGTATCATGAGTTGAGTACTTTGAGTTGAGTATCCTTAGTCCTGTATCATATCTTTGAGTTCAGTATTTAATCTCTGAGTTGAGTATCTTATTCTTGTGTATTCATTGGGTTTCAAGTTTGAGAAGAGGTAAGTATATTTCCATTTTGTATTCAAGTATCAAGCTTATGTTATGTTTTAGAATTCCCCTTACATGTTCGTACATTCTACGTACTGGGCCAATTGGCATGCATCTTCTCAAGATGCAGACACATGCATACAGGATCATCAACAAGAGCTTCATTAATACATCTGAGAGTTCGAGTTATCTATGGGGAGTATCCTTATTTCTGGAGGAATTCAATTACTTTTTTGTTTAGTCAGGAAGTCGTGGATCTTGTCCCGACTTCTATCTTTATCAGTTAGAGGCTTCATAGATAGTCAGTATAGTTAAAGAGTCTTTATTATCATTTATTTCATTAAATGTTTTAAAGACTAAAGTTGTCTATTTTATGGCTAGTTGAATATATTACTTAATTCAGAGTTGTTTATTTGAGTTAAAAGTTTCGAAAGTTGAGTTTATAAATTTTATTTCACGTTTCAAGATTTCTATGATTAAGTAAGTCTTCCGCTTGTAGTTAGACAGGATGAGGGTTCGTTGGAGACCATCAATGGTCTTTGAGTACCAGCTATGCCCAGGGTGTAGGCTCAGATCATGAAAATAACTTATCCAAACTTCCTCTTTTTGACTGCTATAAATTCAACATCAAAGAAGTTGATAAACTATGCTCATCTAAAGTGTCATACTCACATATTTAAGTTATAAGTAGCTTTTGAAAATGGAAGACTCAAAGAATTTTTTCAATTTTTGTTCCTCTAAAGACATTTTATTAACAAAAAAAAATAAACTTGCATAATTCTAACTTAACAAGTAAAAACCCTCTTAAATTCTAATACATACCAATCAATGACTCAAAACTATAATTTGCATACCTAATTTACTTTTCAAAGAAAATATCAATTGAAGGACTAACCGGAGAAGACTCAACAATAAAAAATGTCTCCATCTCTAGGTATATCGTGTTGTTCCTCCTCTATTATTTCCTTCTGCAACGAATAGGTGATTGAAGGACTTTATTTGTTTTACATAAGTCTATTACAAACAGGTGTTGATGAACAAGGACGTGTTAATGTTCTAAAACTAGCAGACTTAGTAATTATTGAAGCAATAGAGTAAGCTATTAATAAATATGCACATGTTATTAATGGAAAAATATGAACTATAGGTGAAACGTTAAATGTCACCTTCATAGGCTATCTATTGGAGGCTGAGCTAATAAAATTAATCTTCACAACACGCCACAACAAATGTAGCTAAAATCAATGGATAAAACAAAGCATAATATATATAATTTATACAATATCACACACAATCAGCAACTTATAACTGATGACAACTTGAGTGAAAAATTGTACCCAACAATAGAGGAAATCAAGATTAATGCGTTGAACATTTTGAAGAAAAACCTTTAGAATTTTGGATTAATTTTATCAACCTCTACATATCCTAAAGCAGCTAAAAGATGGATGAAACCTAACTTTGAGAAAAGAGAAAAAATTACCTTTTGGAAATTAAAGAGCGAGCTTGACGACGAGATGATGGGAACAACAACAATGGAGAAGGAGTTGAAGGAGAAAGACAAGGAGCTGAATTTGACTTTGAATCTGACACATCTCATAGATCTCGATGTCATTCATCACGATTTTGCGCTTGCTTCCATAAAACTATACCTCAATGTCTCCGTTATTTGCACCACCATGCCTTTAGGAAGGTTTCCACTCGAAACTCCATTTGTAAAAGATGAAACCCCAACTAGATCTAGGAAAAGCAACATCAAGAAGTAGAAGAAGATGATTCACCACTGGCTCAGTTCTTGGAATCCAGTCATGAAGCTATTGAAACCCCAAAAAGAGCTCCTCTGAGAAAAGTGGATTCAGGTAAGGACAAGAGGATATCTTGTTGAGAATGGGGATGCGAGGATGAAGATTGGGGAAAAGATGCGGCCAAATAAGTGTTATAAGTCTCTTAATTTGAAATAAGTTAATTGATTAGGGGTCTTAGGTTATATTAAGTTTGGTGTGTTTTTAAATAATTCTGGTTTTTTTTAAAAAAAATAAATTGGATAGAAGCTTAATGAATAATTGATCGACAGTTAAGATTGAGACATATTTACCACCTTTAATATAGAAAGTATTTATGCACTAAAATTTGGATGGTAAGAACACAAACATTAAAAAAGTATAATGAAAACTATACACATGTGTTGACACCCATTTTGATACCCAACCCATTTTCCTTTCCAACCCACTAAACTTAATTCCCTTCAACCCAAATTAATCCCAACACATCCAGGCCCAATTCTCCCTACTCCCAGGCGGCCCATCTCCTTTTCCAATCCCAGGCCCACTTTCGTTTACTCATTCCCAGCCCAAAACCCCCCTTCCACTTTAAATCTTCAGCACAATTAATTCCCAGGCCCACCCGTTCCCGTCCGACCCGCCCAACCCCAAACTCGTTTCCCCCTTTCCTCTTCCCATCTTCCTCGTTCTGTTTCATAAAATAGAAAATGCCAAAAGAGCACAACCAACGCGCGACCTCCCCCCCAACGGAAACCCCTTCTTCCTCTCAAACGCGACAGAATCCCAGAAACGCCAACGTCCCCGCGTCTCTCCCCCACGCTCTCTCTCCCTCTCTCCTCATCTCTCACGCGAGCTGTGCAACAGCTTTAGAGCCGTTTCCTTCTACAATTCGTACGCTCGCGTCGGCCTAGCAGCAAGGAAGGCTGCAAACTTTGTCCATGGTGCCTAGATCGCGACACGTATCCCGCAATCGGACGGCCCCCATCCCTCCCCCATCAAAAATTTCGTACAAGGATTGTACTAGTGGCAGCTTCAACCTTATCTTCATGGGTTTGAATTTCGAAATAGAGGGCAAAGTCTCAAATTTTCCCCAATCCTTTCCTGAAATTCCCTCGCCTCCTACCCCAAGAACCCTAAAAATTCTCCCTCTATATAAAATCCCTTCGTTATCGGAATAGGGGTTGGAAATTTTTAGTTGAGATTTCGTTGTAAGCTGCCTGAGTAAATTTCATTCTGTTTATCATTGAAATATCAAGAAATTCGAGAAAACATTGCAAATACTTTAAAAACGACTGATAGATGGAAGAGTTTCTAGTGTCTCGCGTTTGAGTCTAAGTTCGAGGTGGTGAAGTCATTAGCTTGTCGCTGTTCCAGTTGCTGCTCTCGAAAAGGTAACCTTCTCCTACCTCTTACTACCCCGTCGTTTCTTCTGTTTTGAAGTAGTCTCTTGTGTCGCTTCGGTACTCAGTGAGTTGCTGCTGATATATCTGCTGGTTTTTCCTGATTTGTTTGGATCAAAATCTGTTAAAAGTTCGACTGTGAGCACGCAAGGCCTGTGGCTGTAAATATAGGTTGTTTATTTGTTGGTTTTGGTTCGAGTCTGTGATGTATCCTGTATTATAGTCCTGCTTCGTTATGTTGTTCGTCTTATGTCGCTTTCTATCGTTACGAGTTTGTCATGGCGTAGACCTTATCGTGTTGGTTTTGACTTCGTTCCGTTTTGGAACCATCAATTGGATGATTGCTGGCCTGTTTCGAAGCTTCTGTCTTGTTTAGGTTGGAAATTCTCCATGGTACAATAATGTCTAAGGAGGTTTGCTGAACATGAATGAGTTTTCCTCTTTCCCTAAGTAGTTTATGAGGATAGAGCATGACTTCCCTTGTTTCAAATCATACTTTAGTTACAAATAGTTTATGTGTTGTTGTCTATCGCTATCTTCGAATTTGCCGAAGGTTTCATACTTATGTATGTCCGAAAGTTTAAAGTACTCATTCTTGCCTAATGCTTGCTTTGTTGAGGATCTTGTTTTAATGATAATATTTAGTTGATGTTGTTAATCCTTTTCTTTTGTTTTTTCATTACATGTGACATCAATTCGAGTCCATTTCGGACTCCACTCCCGCATTCCTCCGAGTTAAAAGACCTTTGAGTCAGCCCATTTCAAGTCTAGGAGGTCTTAAGACCCATTTACAGGTCGAAATCCGGCATTGGAGAGCTGCTGGAAGTGGCGGATTGCAGGCACTTGGCTGCGATTTTTGTTTTGAAGCTGTGTATATGATTTATACACCATATATACACTGTGATACAGCTAAAAAATCCACAGGAGGCCAAACTCAAAATCTGAGTTGACGACAGGGAAATTACCTTCCTAGAAAGGAGTTTTCAACTTCCGAAAGTTGAAAAACAGGCTGATATACAGACTGTATACACATATATACGGGAACGATATACTATATATATGCTTAAAGATTATGATTGGCAGGGGAACCTAGAGGGACGCCTATTCCAATTAAAATTCAGGATTAGGAAAATAATACGGACGTAGGGTGCAGCCCATATACATTAGTATACATTATCGGGCGACGATATACCCTTGTTTAGTAAGTTTTTAAAAAATGATACAGGTACGAATATGCAGGGGAATACAGGGAAAGTAACGGAAAATATATATTCAAACAGGTGCAGGGCTTAAGAGATCCAAATGGGTCAAATATATGTTGTATACAGCATGTATACATTTGTGTATACCCTTTATGATTCTTTTTCAGGATTGGGCCAAGGCCCTTCAATAATTTTCTAACAGGCCCAAGGAGCCAAAATGTTTTTTTATGCAGGAGTTTTTAATTTGTTGAAAGGTCCCAAGTCCATATTTGAAATTAGCGTAGGACAGGTAGGCTAAAGCCCAATGGAATGAATTTGGGCAATAAGGCCCAAGTTCAAATTTTTCTTCTCCTCTTTATTTATTATTTGCTTAAATTAATTAATGTGTGGTAGGATTTTAATAATCTTCTAAAGGGTAGCCAATCATCATTATTTTAAAATTTACCACTTTATTTGCTTATTGTTGTTTATTTTTGTCACCATTTTCCTTAATTTTTTTTAAAAAAAAATGTTTTCCTTTAAAAGTAATAAGGAAACAAAAAAAAATTAAAAATTAAAGAATGAATCGAAGCGATGTCTTACTAAGTTAAAAATTAAAAAATATATATTAAAGTCATTTTAGTCAAATTGTCGGTCAACCGCAAGTTAGCGGGCATCCCGAGGGCATAACACCTTCTCGGGATGTACATTGAACTTTGAACCTTTATAATCGATTTTAATCTGTTTTAAATCTTTTGAAATTTTTCTTGATTTTATCAAAATCAAGTGGCAACTCCATAATTTTGAAAAGTCGATTTTTCTTAAACAATAAGATTAATTGATTTTCGAAACCTAGTCAATATTTTTTCCATTTTTAAACCAAAAATAGTTAGTAGTATATTTTTTTAAAATAAAACAGAATGGCGACTCCGCTGGGAAATTATTAAGCTCTAACCACAAGATTTGACCATTTGATAATTTGTTCTTGACTGTTAAAATATTATTTGTGCCGAATGTGTTTGATTTTTTATAAAATGGCATTACATATCATGGCATATTTCCGATATATATATATAGTATATTAAAGGACGGTTTGCGGAACCGCAGTCGGACTTTTTTATATTCACCCATTTTCGAAATTAGCGAATATCTATTGGTTCGTTAGGCGTCCAATGGTTATCGCGAGTTTCAGTCCAAATTGTCTATTTGGGTTCCCGGTCCTTTAAAAAAGCCACTCTTAATCAACTAGCGTACAGCCGAGCCAAATCCTGAACGTAGGAGCATTTGAACTAAGACGATCCAACGCCCAAGGAGCCTTGGGCCCATTAGAAGCCCACCTTTTGTCTATTTGGCCCAAATTGCCAAAAAACAGACAATCATGCTTACGTGTTAATTGAAGGATGTATATGCATTTTAAAAACGATTTATTGTCTACGGGGCGGGGGGTTGACTAATTTTTGTTCGCTATTTTTTGTAGGATGAATCCGGCACACAAACCTTTGAAAACAAGAATGGTTACCATCCCCGACCCTTTCCTCAAAGTATGGTGGAGGTTCATGAACAACGATGATAAAGGGGTTGTTCAGAAACACATAGGTCATCTCCCATCGTTGTTAGAGATGAATGCGTGGCCTGTCTTATTTGGAACGATGGTGAAATTCTGGGATAGCGAGAATATGGTTTTTGATTCGGGGAAGTAGAGTTGACGCCGACTATAGAAGAAATTCTTATCAATTATGAAAGTGTCTCCATGTGCAACAAAAGGAAACGACATCCAGATACAGATCTCGTAAATCCTATAACATGGGATTTCACCAAAATTAAAGAGAAGTTGTCATTGGTTAAAGCCGAGTGGATGGACAAACTCCCTGGCCCGAATATACCATTCAGAAAGTTATATTATCGATTTGGGCGTGCAAGAGCTTATGAGAAACATAAAGACGAGTCCGTCTCAAAAGAAAAATGGAAAGAGACGCGTCCTCTTGCATTTGCGATATGTTTGCTCGGCACGATGGTTTTCCCTCAAGGGCCAAAATACACTATTCATCCTAGTGTATTTATGGTCACTCATGCCATTTTTTATGGAGTGGATTACAAAACATCAACAAAGTACTACGCTTTAGCGCCCATGATTCTGTAGACATCTACAGGGCTTTAGACAAGTGTCAGAACGGAGAACGCTTCTTTCAAGGGTGTAATCTGATACTACAGTGGTGGATGATGCGTCATTTAATAAAGACTCATAACCCAAAAGAACCAGATCCCCTAAGACGGTCCGACGAGCTACATAGTCATGACTGGTGGTTGTATCACAATTGTTGCAACAAGACTGGAGAAGAGAGTTTTTGGTATCCGAGGCTTCGAGGACTGAGAGAAGAAGACGTACAATGGTCAATAGATAGTTTGGTGGTAACTAAGAATATGGTGGTTCGAACTGAAAAGGTCCCTTATTTGGTATTTGTTGGGTTAAGAGGAACTAGACCATATGCTCCCGGTCGAGTTCTGAGGAAACTAGGAGGGAAACAAGAGTTGGCTCAGATTGCAGATATGA